TAATAAAATCAAACAATCCCAGTTTATTAGCCTCCGTATAATCTTAAAGTAATATAAGTTTTGTGTTGGCAATTATTTTTCTTTTTGACAAAACAATTTCAAAAATATTTTTCCTTTTTGCGTTTTTTTGTTTTATCATAATTTACTTTTTTTTGCATATATAAAATTGTCCAAAGAATTATTAGCAAGTGTTTACATCATATTAAATGTATTTTTGATCAGTTAATGAAGAGTTAATAGAGCTCTTTTCCCTATTAGGAAGAATGTAAACATCATTATTGGCTGAACTTTAATGGTATATTTGTACTTGGAGACTCTACATGGACACATATATACTTTGTAGCAAACATTAGGGGTGTTTTTGACCATTTCCCATTAATATATGTCATCTTTGAATCAATCGGAGGTTCATACTAATTTATGTTCTGATAGCTCATGCAAATTCAATGGTGGTGTTGATTTCTTGCATGACATGCACATGCCGGAGTTCTTAAATAGTATAAAATGTTCTGGTGTTCAAAATCATGAATTGCACTTAAAGGTTGGGGACTTCTGTCATATTGTTGAGAAACATTGACCATTCGATCGGACAGTGTAATGGAACACGCTTGGTGATAATGAAGCTTGCCACTCACGTGCTTGAATGTAAGATTCTAACCGGATCAAATGTTGGACATAAGGTATTGGTACCAAGACTTTCCCTAACTCCATCTAATCTCAGGATACTCTTCAAGTACAAGCGTAGACAATTTTCTCTTATGGTTTCTTACGCAATGACAATCAATAAGAGTCAAGGGCAATCATTATCCCATGTCGGACTTTACTTGAAAAGGCTCGTGTTTAATCATGGTCAGTTATACGTTGTTGTTTCTCAAGTCACTAATAGAAAGAGATTGAAAATATTAATATGTGGTGACGATAATGGAGAAAGTAAAACTACTAAAACTGTTTTCTATAGAGAAAGTTTTTCACAATTTGTAATAACATACAATATTGTATTTTTGCTACCGATTCAATAATGATGTTATTTATTTGTCATGTACTTTTCATGGTATATATATATACATATATATTAATTAAAATATTATAATAAATATATCCCGTGCATCGCACGGGTGAAGATACTAGTGTTTATAATGTGACAGCGGTCATAAACTCCATCATTAAATTGATAATAACCAGAAAAATAAATCAATATATTGTATTTTTGTAAATTAATAAATTATTAATTATTTATAAACAAATAATAAAAAAAAGTTCTAGACAAAATTCTCTGATCTTAATTCTTAACCAGAGAAATCAAAGACACACACACCCCCCTCTAATCTCAGCTTCCCGTCCAAGAAAAGGAAACAAAAATGGTGGAAAAAATTATTGACAAACTCAGAGCTCAACGATGGCTGTCACTTGACAGGTGACAGATTTCAGTTTACCATTTTTACCTATCTCCGACTTACAAATCCCGACGAAATGATTCGGACCGAAGTATTTCCCCTCTTTTTAACCTCCTTAAAACTTCACCAAAAATAGTGTTAGTAACTGTTGATCAATTGCTCACATTTTGATTTAAGCTTTATTTCCCATTTCTTTTCGAATTAATCAAGAATTGTAATTTCTGGGTTTCGATCCTCTTTTTCCATTTAATCGAATTATGGAGGCTGATGGAGGAAAATATTTGGCGAAAGAAAGTGATGAGGACTTATCAAGAAACGAGGGCTCTGTTTATTTGTCGCCTCCTTTGTTGCCAAAGGTAGAATTTTTTTTTAATCCTTTTTTATTTATTTTCTATTTACTGTAATATTTCTGCAGCTAGGTTGAAATTGCGCAGCTGTGGTTGTGTTTTTTTTTTTTTTTTTTTTTTTTTTTTGGTATTTTGATTGTGAATTTGAGTACTTTTTTTGTGATTGTTTGTTGAGTTTAGTGTCCATAAAGTGTAAAGATTGTAACTTTATAGGGAAATGCTAAGGTTCGGTTACGGAACCATTTCGTCGGAGTTTGTAACCGTTGGATCATCATATGACCATCAGAGATAGTTGATGATTATAAACCCTGGTTTCGTAACGGGACCGTAACATCTTCCAAATTTATAATCTTGTACTCTGCATTCTGTTGTACAACTTTGGACCTCTTAATGTGGAGTTAAATGTATATTTTTCAGATTATTGATCACATCTGGTTTGTGATTGAAAGTTCACATTTTTGTTTCTCCTTTTTTTTCCGTTACTGTGATAATTCAGAACCTGGGTCGAAATACGGCAGCTGCGGTGTTTTTTTCGTGCATTCTCATTGTGAATTTGAGAATGTTTTTGTGATTGTTTATTAAGTTTTAGTGTTCAAAAAGTGTAAAGATTGTAACTTTAAAATCTTGTGCACTGCATCTTTTGTTCAGCTTATCAATCTCTTAAATGTGAAGTTAATGTATGTGTTTCAGATTATTGAACACATCTGGTTTGTGACTGAAAGTTATTTTCTGCCTGCTTTAAAGTCATTGTTTTGCATAAATTGTTATGATGCATGGTAATTTGTGGGAGATTATGAATATATGTCAGAGTAATATTGTTCACAGGGTCTTTTGTGCATTTATAATTCAACAAGGCTGCGTTTGGATGGTAATTTGTGGGAGATTATATATTGCCTCTTGCCTTTGCTTCAAAATTTCATGTTAATTACTTTAGGCCCGAGACTCCAGCGAAATAGTAGCCGAAGAACCATTGAGCAATGAGCAAATTCACAGTCAAGACTTAACTTTTAACACAAAACCCGGCAAGCCAATAGTCGAGGGACCCTCGGATGATTGTGTGATGATAAACACGCCGAAGAGAGTAAATTTCTCCCCACTCCCCAGCCCGAACCGGATAAGAATCATCGATTCTCCTGGCCCTTCCACGTCCCGAGGAATATCAGCCATGAAATATTTTATTCCGAAACTGAGCTTCAAATTCCGGAACACAAATGCCGAGATTGAGAAGGCTGCCATGCTAGCGCTCGGGGTTTCCCCCGAGACACAAAGGAAGACTTCACTTGCCGGGGCATTCTCGCTGACTAAGATTTTCACGCAAAAGATGAAGAGGACTTCGTCTTTACCAGCCACTCCGATTTTGCACTCGAATCCAGAATCTGCTCATGGAGGGAGTATTGCCAACACTTCATCTGATGCAGCTGTGAGTAGCATTTTTCTCTTTTTCAATTTCAGATTATCGGCCATTAGCTTTAACTTTTGTTATTTAAGTCATGTTGCATTCATACTCTTATTTTTGCATGTGTCACATATTGCAGATAATAGAAAAATATAATAAAATTTAGTCTGGTGTAGCTTTTTCTGCACTAGAATATCCTGAAATGCAATTTGATAATATTTTAAAAAATGCAGCTGATAATATTATTTTTGTTGTAAGCGGATAAAAGACGTTAATTTCATTAGAGCGAATTCATCCTTTTTTCTCTGACTTTTTGGTCTTACAGATAAATTCGTCATTATGCAGAAAGGTGGGCCCAAGCTATCCATTCACCGTTCGCATTCAGTTCCCGTTTTCAATTTTGGCAGTGTATACCATATAATTCCTTCTACTCGCAAGTCGACCGATCAGAAAGTGGACACATCAATCTCCAATGCAACTGACACTGGTAAAGTTTTTTAAATAGAAGATATTTCATCAAATTTGGTGAATATCTCGAAAAAAAAATGCTATTTTCAGAGATTTTTTATTAAGTCGAAGTACAATGTGTCTTAGTCAAATTGTGTTCAGATGAGAACAAGAACTTTCCGGAAGACATACCACAAGAGGAAGCTGTTTGTAGAATCTGTTTAGACGAGCTGAGTGAGAACTCGAACACTCTGAAAATGGAATGCAGCTGTAAAGGGGAACTTGCTTTGGCCCACCAAGAATGCGCAATTAAGTGGTTCAGCATAAAAGGCAACAGAACTTGTGACGTTTGCAAGCAAGAGGTTAAAAATCTGTCGGTCACACTTTTACGTGTCCAAAATGGTGAAAATCGAGGAAATGGGTCAATCCCGGCTGTAATAGGTCGATATAGGTAAATACATTTTTACCTTTTTCGACCCACTTAAACAAATCATTTGCAACGTTAAAGTAAAATCTGTTTGCTAATGCAAATCTGTCTATTATGTAGAGTTTGGCAGGATGTTCCGATTCTTGTGATTGTTAGCATGCTTGCATATTTTTGCTTTTTGGAGCAACTATTGGTAAGTGATCGTTTTTATTGTGTTTTATTTTTCAAGATCCATTTTTTATTGTATTTTATTTTATTTTTGCTCTTTTTAAATTCAAGTGATCGTTTTTTAGTTGTTGTCATGAAGGTCAAGAGACTTGGATCGGGTGCAATTGCAATATCTTTGCCCTTTTCGTGCATTTTAGCTCTACTCGCATCTATGACTTCTACTACCATGGGTAAAGCTGTTTTTTCACTTTGTACTTTTTACTTATCAAAACTCTGAGGTATGAGTATTATCATGTACGCATTTAGTTTCATTTTCGACTCATTTTGTTGCTCTTATTGTGTGTGTGTGTGTGTAGTAAGGAAGAGATACGCCTGGGTATATGCGACTATTCAGTTTGTGCTGATCGTTCTTTTTGCACATATTTTTTACTCCCTGGTAAGTCCTAAAATCTTTTAGCTCCAAACAAAAAAAAAAAAAAAAAAAAAAACACGGTTTTGAGGTATACATTTTAATACAAAACCATCATTTTTTTTTTGTTTTTTTAATGTGCATAAATAGCTTCATGTGCAAGCCGTTCTATCTGTTCTGCTGGCGACTTTTGCTGGTTTTGGAGGTGTAATGTGTGGAGCTTCAATTATTTTCGAGATTCTCAAGTGGGTCAGAACATGGAACCTTCCGCCACCTTCCGGAACCAATTCTTCTCAGCAGAACATCGATTTAGAGGCAGGAAATGTGGGCCCAATGGATTCACAGCCCACTCAAATCGAAGCACGGAACCAAGGTATTGGGCCTAGCAGCTGATTCGGGCTTGTTTGCAGTTGTACAGAACCATTTGTACACTTCAAAAACTACATATTTCTGGTGGTGAGGCCATTTTTCAGTACATTGTGTGTTGCCGTGTGAAGAAGCCACCAAAATTGCGATTCGACATGGCAAAGAAAGCCAAGGTGAGTTGCGGAGTGAAATAATGTGTCGCGTTGTGAAAAATGTTCGTTCTCGAAAGGTGTCTCTTTACTCTGTTGTCTTAACAAAAAAGTTTGTAGAGTGATTAGCTTTGTGTCTGAATGCTTGTAAGTAGTTTTAGAATGGACATGAGGTGGCTTTATTAATTTCAATTATCAATTCCATGACAGATATTAGGTCCCTTTTTTAAAGATTTTCTACACCAAAATCAATTAAGAAACCCTTATTATTGTTCCAGAAAATCAATTCATATGTTGTTTTCCCAAATCCACGTGCAACCTCACGACCTCACCCACCGACGTTGCCGCTATGGCCACAATTGTGTCGCCGCCGAGCTTTTTGCCGTGCTTTTTCGGCTAATTGGTGGCTGCGGCGGTCTGCGATGGGGGAGGGTGCTCAAGCTGGACGGCACCATCATGGATGGTTGTCCACAGGAGTTCGAGCAGTTGGGGAAAGGGGGAATTTAGCTACATTTGACTTGGTTGTCGGCGAAGCTTCTTGATCTGTACCTCGAAATCAAGCTGTCAGGGAGAAATCCGTAGAGCTCGTTGTTGGATAGGTTGAGGTCGGTGAGATTTGGCGGAGGGGGTGAGAGGAAATTAGGGATTGGGCCGAAGATCTCGTTGTTCTGGAGGTGGAGGGTGATGAGTCAGGTGAGATTGGCAAGCGGTGGCCGGATGGGACCGCTGATGTTGGTGGATAGGTCGAGGCGGCAGAGGCGTGGAGGGCAGAGATTTTCGACGGATTTGACAGGAGAAGTCATTGCTGGAGAGGTAGACGAGCTTGAAGTCGAGGCAGCGTGCGAGGGGGGAGAGGTTGTTGTTGAGGCGTTGCCGCGGAGGTTGAGGGATGCGAGGACGTAGATGGGCCGCGGAGGTTGTGGGAGGGTGACGAATATTTTAATTGATTTTGGCGTGGAAAATCTTTAAAAAAGCCACCTAATGTCCGTCGTGGAATTTATAATTGAAATTAATAAAACCACCTCACGTGACACATCATATTGTTGGCATGACTTATGGTACTGGCTGCAAACAAGTCGAGCCGAGCAAAGCATTGACCTTATGGAGGAGGATTGATTTTTTTTTTTTATATATAGTTGCTCGATATTGAGCTCAAGCTCGTTGAGCTCCATTTATGAAGTTTAAGTTCGACTCGATATAAAAGCACAATCGCTCGAGCTAGACTCGAAATCAAAACACTCGAGTTCGGCTCAAAAGTTTTTAAATACAAAAATAAAATTACCATTAAGCACCTATGCTATACTATTGCTATACTATTGTAATATATATGAGGTATTTTAGTAATTCGACATATATCTCGAGCCGCTCGACAATGCAAAATATGGGCTCGAGCCGTTCGAGCTCGACTCTAGTTCGGTCAAACTCGAACTCGAGTTGAGCTTTGAGTCGAGTGCTCGGTTCGTTTGCAGGCACCATAGAATTTTTGGTATAACCACACCCAAATATGATTGATTCACTTGAGTGACGATTTAAAAAAAAAAATATCTATATCAAATGATTGTTAAGGGGGTAATTGTTTATACATTCAACTAAAAAAAACCAATCAGAACTCATTTTAACTCAAATACGCTATCATCAATATAATTAAATAATATCAACCAATCATTTTTACACATCACATCAATTTTAATCCACTATTCATTCACTCACATAATTTTAACTAACTATCACTTCCAATCATTTTTCTCTTATTTTACATCAAATCAACACTATTTATTTCATTAATATTATTTTAATATATACACTAACAACTAACTATATCACTTTTTTTTCAAAATTAACTATCGTTAAAAAACAATTCAAATAAAAACGAATATATAAACAATCACCCCATAAAGCTCCATGATCCTTTTCATGACAACAGCAAACAGAGCTCATCTATTAAGGCTCCATTATATAGGATGTAATAATAACATTAAGCACAAGTGACAATCAGACAAGAAAGTACACTGCACTTGTGCAAATGTCTCAAAATCACATATAAATCAAAGATCCGAATACTCTTGATAAAAAAGTAGGACGCCAATTTTAGTCGGGCCAACAGAACTCGGAATAAATTATCAACCTATATCCTTCGGCAAGATTTGTTCGCCAAGAAAAAAGAATGAGGACAAACCTCGTATAATTTATTCTAATCTGTCTGCTAAGACATTTGTCAGTTCAAATCACACAAAAACAAAAGCTCTTTCTTATGCACAAACCTCCAATTGTTTTTCCTCGGGTTATTCATTACTTGCCACCCGTTTTCCCAGTCAGAGATGACTTTTCCTTCAAGCTCATGTTCAGGAGAGAATCCGAGCCTCCTGGCTGGCTCTCGCCAAAATCGGGCCTCATCCAAATCTTGATGTGGCCCTCACGGCAGATTGTGAGGACAGACTCGTGAGAGAATATTAAACCCGAGAGAGGCTCCGTGTGAACACGATGAGCCACCACAGGAGAAAGCTTCGGGACATCTCGCATACTTGGGGCTGGCTGTAAAGTGCCAGCCTGGCAGGCGGCATCCCAGTGGGTCGATTGGCTGCCGGCACTTAAAGTGGGGGACCCGCCAGGTGGACGGCGAACAGGAACCACGAGTTCATCCATTTCTAAGTCCCATAATAGCAACTGTGTGTCCTGCAAAATGGCTAAGTGTCAGAATTTGCAAATAAACCCTTAAGGTGTGTGTATTTATTAAACTGAGGTACCTGACCAACAGAACCAAAACGATAAACGATATTTTCGGCAATTCCATCTGAATTAGGAGCCACCCAATACGAATCAAATGCCACTCCACTAACCTGTCTTTGTTGAGTAAGAGATGTGTAAGAGAGCCATTTAAGTAAGCAAATACTTTATTGTCAAAGCCATTTGGTTTTCGGTATGAGCTTTACAGAAAATTGCTAAATTTTTCATACTTACCCATGAGTTGTGTCCTTCACCCCACGCCACAATCTTTCGCTCTTCCATACTCCATACTTGAACTAGGTCATCTTCACCACCAGTCAAAATGTATTTTCCATCCATGCTGTTGTATTGTTATGTCAGAATTCAAAGTCCTTATAATATTTGTCCACAGATCTAATTCTTATAAAGAAGGTCTTGTACTAGGGAGAAGCAGAAAAAACAACATATTTCAGTAGATAATTAAAATGGCATTCACCTCCATGCGCAACATAAAAGAGCACCATAATAACTTTTCCCGCCACATAGGAGTTGCTCGTTTTTGTAATCAAAGACTCGCAGGTAACCTGCATTCATCAACTTCTTGTAATCCTTCAAAGAGAGATGGAGACACTGAGGGGCAACATTGGGAACTAACAACAAAGCCCCAATACACCAAAAAAATAAAAAAATAAAAAATAAATAAATAAATTATCATACCATCCCTTCCTACAGTTGCTAAATAAGAACCATCTGCCGAAAATGCAATGCCATTAATTGGACCTTGGCAAACATGCCATCGAGCAACTGGGTTCTGAAAAGAACAATATTCAGTGCTACTGAGTACTGAAACACACCAGCTATTAACTAGCACAGATTTGATGCTCAAACAAACAATTCTTCCACTTCAGCCAAGAAAAAGTTACATTTGATCAAGTAAAAATACCATGTTGGAAGCTTCTCAAAATTAACGTTTTACAGCCAATCAATCAACAAACTAAACTGAAAATGTAAATACTTCCATTATGATATAGATGATTTTAACCACCCTAAGAAATGAAAATCCAATTCCAAATATGGAATCACAAACAGATAACAACTACCAATACCTTACTATATCGTGCATGTGATACAGAAAATTGAGTTTGATCCTTGATCACAGGGAATGAAGGATCACCCGAGCCATCTTTATTCTAAAAACAAAAGGGAAGACATAAATTCCAAAACTATGGCTAAAAAATATGACTGAACTTAATTCCCAAAAGAAAGTTCCAAACTTACCTTCTCATATACATATATATTACCATCTGCGTGTGCAGCAAGAAACGAGCCATCACCATTAGGAATCCACACAATACTAGTACAACGACTGTTATAAGAAAACAAAGCAATTGATCAGCACGTAATTCAAGGACTTGAACAGATATATCAGTATACAAGTTTGATGGTAGTGATAAAATTAAGAAAACTTTTTGCAGACGATTACTCAAAGTACACACAGTAAACTCAAAATGACAACTATACTCTTGCAAAGTATCATTGTAAGGGAAAAGGAAATAAACAAAGGAATCAACTTCTTGCCTATTATTAACAGAGCCATCTTTATTATAGTGCTGAGCCCCCACAAGCTTCTTACCAACATCTTGTAATTGTTGTCTAAGAGATACTGAATAAACTACAAAAAAAAAAAAACATAGAGATTGGAATCTATCAAACACTTTGTAAACCAAATATTAATCCTATTAAAATTGTAGGACCAAAGGCATACCATCTCCAGAGTTCAGACCAATTAGCAAATCATGGCCATCTTTAGCGTCAGGATCATATGCGTGGCAAACAGGATTTGAATTACTAAAATGTATAGACTTTACAGGATCCTATGCAGCACAACAAAACCCTCTAAATCAATTCAAAAGATGATTTTTACACATTTAAAAATACTAATAATAATAATGCAAATAACGACTCCAAAGTACCTTATCCTGAGAACTTAAATCGCTCAAGAAAATCGCATCACCAGCATTGAATATCAAGTATGTCCCTTTCCCATCAAAATTCAGATTTCCATTCACACTACTCGAACTTGAAGTCCCTGAGGATCCTATTCTAGTGCCATTCCCATTGCTCTGTTTACTTCCACCATTACCACCGACAAAACTAAGTGCCCTACTCCCATTCCCACCACCCAACAACCTTGCTGCTGCTGACCTGACACCACTGCTTACACCCAAACTCGACGATGATTGAGATGGAGCCTGCATTGGCTTTTCTTTTAGACGGGCTAGTGTCACCTGAACCAAATTTAACTTTTCAATTCAAAATCGGCCAAGCCCTTGAGCTGTTAATCCAATCTTCCAGAGAAGAAAAAAAATCTTCAATGCTTCAATAAATGATACTTGTATCAACAAAAACAACTTTCAATCACAAATGCTTAGCCTAACATATACTGATTTTGGGCAAGCTTCACGAATCATCAAACCGCAAATAAACTATTAAAGCTTATTACTTTCAGTCCAATTCATGTCGAACCAAACACCATCGATGTTAATTTTTATAAAAACACAATAATCAGCTGAACAAGAATCCCTAAATGCAAAAAATTACACTCCCGAAAACAAAAAGAAAAAAGAAAAAAAAAAGCCCTAGAAGATGCCGATGATTTAGGCCAACCTGAGTGACGGTTTTGCCGTGAGCGTAGTGAAGGAGGCCCGTCGGGTAAGTCTTCTCGTACTGGAGCTTGTACTTACCCTCAGGGGTCTTGAAATAAGTCTTGAGGCCAGGCGACGGCGCGTTGTTCCCAGACGCCGGCGCCGAGGACATCAAATTGTTGCTCGGCCCGCTGCTTATCATCTCTTTCAGGTCTCACCCCCCACACCAAAAATGAATCTAGAAAACTTTCTTCAACAACTTTTACGAGCCGAAATTGAACGAAACCATGTAAGCGAAAAGGGTTTTTCTTGTTTTTTTCTAAAAAAAAATAAAATAAACATATTTAAAAAGGCTCTGAGCTGTGCTTTAATGCCTTTTCACGCGCTTGGCGGAATTTTGTGCCAAATGGGGTTTTTTTTGACCTTGTTCTACTACCGTCTGCCTTGGCACACCTAAGTATTTATATTTAGGTTCTTTCTAAATTTTTTTTTTTTCTGTTAATTAAATTCTCTGGTCTTCGATATTTTTTATTTTATTTATTTATTTATTTGTTGTTGGGTTGATCATAATCTAACTGTGGATTTTGGCTTATTGTATATTTGTATTACACTTGTTAACTTCTGTGAGATGAAGTGACTGTCTGCTTAAACAATTAAAGTTAGTTAAAAGATTAATATTCTCTCATCTCTCTTTGGATTTCGTTTTTTAAGGTAGAATAAACTAATATAATCTGTTAAAAATAGCTATACAAATCCGCTAACAACTAACAACTAACCGCTGATTACCAAATAAGACTTGTAATCATCTATATGTTATTCTTATTAGCTAATACTCAAACAAGTTTACTTGTTGATGGTGTGGTTTTATTTTGAGTTGGTTCTAGTCATGTTCTTATTAGTTTGGCTTTTATTGTGGTTAGTCATATCCATGAGTTTGTAATCTCCCTTGCAATTTGGTATCTCCATTTGGGAGTTTATTTGTACATTAGCCTTTAGTTGTTCATTTTGTACACTTTTCTAAAAATCGGCCTAAGCGGTGTCTGGGTGCCTCTAATTTGTACAAATCGACAGAAAAAATCAGTCATGCGGCCCTAAGCGGACTTGGCGGGCTCGGTGGCCAGGCGGGCATAGGCAGACTGTTGTGTACAAATTATTCTTTTTATCGAGTACCGAATCTAAAGATTCGTTCCCCGGGTCGATCTCACGAGGAAGGCTGTTCGGAATTTAGTTCTGATATCGATAACACATAAAAAGAAAACAAACCTAAACACTCTAATCGAATAAGGATGGATGAATAATTATCAGCTAAGAAATAATGAAAAGCAATAACCTACCTAAGAAGATAAACGAAACAATGAAAAAAAAGCTAGGGAGTCGGGGATAATTAATTCAAGTTCTAGCAAAACCGGGCAATCAATTGTTCGGTTCAAGATTGACACTCTCGCTTAGACATCTAGCGGTTCGATCCCAATAACTCTTTGTAACAAGGGATTGAACATGGACGAACAAGTTCGAGCATACGACACAAGCCAATTATCCCAATCCCAATAACTTTTCGTAACAAGGGACGGGTCATTGACAAGTGCGTATTTCAATCTAAAACACGTAGATTAGTCAATGACGACATCGTCTACCTCATGTGAGCCTAAGTCTACGACTTCTCCCCTTTCGGTTCAAAAAGTCGCTAATTTAACTAGAAGAGTGTTAATCGACTAATCACATAGAATCAACGAAACCCTAACTCGACTAATCAACATTCAATTGTTACCAACTGCAAGATCAAAGTGTCACTCTTCGATTATATCAATCAATCAAGAAAAAATATATCAATCCCTAATCGAAACAACTCACATAAGAAAGAACAATTTCAAGCCCGAGAGATGCACGCTAAACAAGAACAATCATTCTCCTATCCCTAGCGATAAGATTAGCTACGTAAATTCAATCCAACACACAATCAATTCTCCCAATTCAACCATTATTCATGAATTAAACATAAGAGAAAAAAACTTACGATTAATCTCAAATCAAAGTGTTGAATATCAATTACAAGCTTAATCCCAAAAGCAAGAACAATTTCTAGGT